CATTTCCTGCAATCTCCATCTGCCCGCTTCACTCTTTGCCTTCTTAGCTCCTGGAGGCACCGGACTTTGTGCCTCTGTTTCTTGGAGCCAGGCCAAAGCTCATATTGTTCTATTCCCCCCAGCAGAAACAGAGAATACAAAATAAAGATGCTTCCCGTTCTCCCTTAATTCTCTCAGCATTTCAGTGAAGTGGAATTGCTCATATGAATGAAATAGTTCTGTGTGCCCTCAGTGCTTTATTTAAGACTGTTGTAGTAGATTGCTTTCCACATGGTGGAAATGCATCAACATTTTACAATGTCATCAACCAACTCCTATTAGGTGGGAAGGTGTGTCTAATTGAAGGGGACAAGACTTCCCTGGTTTCATTCCACTGGTAGGCAGAAACTTTGTGCCTTTAACCTGTGTGCCAGGGATGAGGTCTCACTGGTATCTGTTGTACTACAGGCAGCTCGAAACTGTTTGGTAAATGATCAAGGAGTTGTGAAAGTGTCCGACTTTGGCCTGTCTAGGTGAGTGTGGCTTTTTCATCCTTCCTGTTAAAAGTAAAAATAAAATAGTACAAACATGGGGAAGTGTTAGTTTTTAAGCTCCTCCTTTTCTTTTTCTGTTCTCATTCTAGTGTTTCTTGTCATCTTTGCATTCTTTTTTCTTGCTCTGAATTACTTAGCTTACTGCTTTCATCCTTTTATTGTTAAATCTCTTATCCCTCCTTTCTCCCTTTAGCTCTGCTCCCTTCTTCTTTTTTTAAGCCACCACCCCCTCCCTTCTTCTTTTGTAAGCTATTTTCCCAATATCTTAACTTGATCTGTTAATCCCGTTGACTTTCCTCCATCTCTCATTCTTTCTTAGTCAGTCTAATCCCCACTGCTAACTGCAAAATAGAAAGAAGGGAAGGAGAAAAACAAAGATAGGAAAGGGGGATAGAAAAGAGGAAAAAGGTACCTATTAGATCTTTTTTCATTTTATCCTGTTCTTTAGCCATATTGTCAACCAGGAAAACTTAAATCAGAAATGAAAACAGGAATTTTGCTTAAAGTAACATTTGTAAAAGACACTGGCTGACCAGCAGAAACTTTTGAGAAAGCCTATAAGCATGTATGTGTGTAGCTCATATGAGTGTGCCAAGAAGATTTAAGCAATATCAAGTTCTCCAAATCCTAATGGTAATGAGTCTTGGATCCCTTGTAGGTATGTCCTGGATGATGAATACACCAGCTCAGTGGGCTCCAAATTTCCAGTCCGGTGGTCTCCACCAGAAGTCCTTATGTACAGCAAGTTCAGCAGCAAATCTGACATTTGGGCTTTTGGTAAGTGGGTAAGATTATACAGCTCAAAGGAAGAGGAATGCAATGGGGAGATTGAATTTTGCAATCTGCACAAAGTGTTCTTGCTTTCATTAATCTAATTCTTAGGAGTGCTTACTATGTGTCAGGAACCTCAAGGGGTTCTGAGAACAAAAAGAGTAAGCTGGACATGACCCTTGCTTTCTTAGAACTTACAATATATTGAGGGAAACAATTCATTCAGTATTTGACAGCTTCAGAATACTAATTGTGTACTAGGCACTCTGCCAGACCCTATACTACAAAGACAAATATGCTGTCTCTCTTTTAGAGTAGCTAATGGTATAGTGCAACTCAGATAGTTGTAGTCAGTACTGTAGAAGTTTGAACAAAATGCAAAACCACAGAGGTGAGAATCAGCTAATTCTAATGTTTGAGGTTGATCTGGGAGGACTAGGAGACCCATACTACTCCAAAAGACTGCAAACTGACTTAATACATGTTTATTTCATCTTCTAGGGGTTTTGATGTGGGAAATTTACTCCCTGGGGAAGATGCCATATGAAAGATTTACTAACAGTGAGACTGCCGAACACATTGCCCAAGGCTTACGTCTCTATAGGCCTCATCTGGCTTCAGAGAGGGTATATACCATCATGTACAGCTGCTGGCATGAGGTAAGTGTTTTATTGTACCCTCTTAATTATTTCCTTGAACTTAATTTCTCATTTAGCTGGTCAGTGTCCATTCTCCATAACTACATGCCAGCTGGGCACAGACTGATGACAGTGCACACATTCTCTGACTCTGGCCTACACACCAATTCTCTGATGGCCAGCAGTTTTCCCAGACCCACCCCAATTCTCACTATGGTATCATTAGCCACTATATATTGTGATATTCACTATAGTATCATATCAACTCAGCTTTAAGGAGATGTGGTATTGTAGAGCCATGTTGCCTACCATAAGCAGCCAGACAAAGACACTCAGATAAGCATGTAGGCTTTGCAAAAGAAAAGTCATTAAAGTTTTTGTTCATTCATCTAGGAGTCACTGGCCCTTCCTTACACAGTACTAGCTTGCCAACCTTTTCTGGCTGAGGTTTTAAATGACATTTTTTAAAACACCTAAGGCTTGGAAGGGACCTAAAATAGGCAGTTTTTGTTTGGTTAGTCAGCTTGATTTGTTTTTGCTTTTTAACGTGGTACATTGTGGATTTGAGGGACAGGGGTGGTATTTTGGAAATAAGGATCCTGTTCCACTACTACACAAATGCTTTGCTGCTCTCCACTTTTCAGTAGATTCTTAGCAACCTTGACTTGTCAACCTAAATCTCCAGTAGGAAATAAATACTCAGTTCTTAATTTTGCCCCACTAGGAACAGGGCAAGAGAGACTGTTCAATGAGCACCTTTGTGAATCTGGAGCTCTCTTGCTGAGGTGAAAAGTAGATATCTGGATCAGAGTAAGGCTCCTTTTCCTTCGACCAATGACAGAGGTTACAAAGTATGAAGAAAGGGAGAACCCCTTGGAGTTCTTCTCTTCATGTATGATGCAAAATTGGGGTGATTGTCTACGTTTCCTTCTAAACAGGACATCCTCACTCTGCTAGCTAAAATCCTATTTCAGATGGCATGTTCTCTTTTTTTCTTTTCCTTTTTTTTTTTTTTTTTGGTGGTACTGGGGATTGAACACAGGGCCTTGTGCAGCTAGGGAAGCTAAAATAGTGGTCACAAAACCAGAAGCACGTCAGAATCCCTGAGGAGCTCTCAAAAATACAGATTTCTGGACTTCTCCCCCACAGATTTTGATTAGGTATGTCTGACATGGAACCCAGAAATCTTTTCAAACTTTCCAGGAAATTCTGATACTCAGCTAGTTTTGAGACCCATTAATTCAAAGGACCAAGAAATTGATGACTTTTTGGTTCTGACAGATTGAGACCTTTCTGTAATGAATATTCTCTGAATCATTAAATATCTCAGGGGCTTATGGACCATGTGGGAAAGAGCCTAAATCAGACTAACCGAAAGATCCCAGGTGCTCAGGGTCCCTGTCACCCATATGGCCTGTGGCTTTGAAATGTTAAGCACTTTGTTTACTTGGCTTTGGGATGATAGAAACCAAACTGAACTTTATCACAGCTTGTAGGATTTCCTGCCAAATGCTTAAGTATGTTTGGTAGCTATCTTCACTTGAAGCTACAAAATAAGAATACATTGTGCACAATTATGTAATGAACTTGCCCACAGTTTTAATCAGTTTGTCAGTTTAATTTGTAACTTGTTCTTAGCACACTAACAACATGAGTTATTAAAGATGAAACGTGCACAAAGACTTTATGGAAAGCTGCTAATTCTCTCTTTTTTTTGGCTAATCAACAGTTTATGCTGTTAGGCATATAGAATATACTTAATTCATATCTGCTGCTTTCTATTGCATTTCACTTGGATTCTGGATTCTAACCACTGTAACACTCTACTTTTTATTTGATTTTAGAAAGCAGATGAACGTCCCACTTTCAAAGTTCTTCTGAGCAACATTCTAGATGTCATGGATGAAGAATCCTGAAGTGGCCAATAAGCTTCTTAGTTCTACTACTCTCCTCTACAAGCCCCCATTTCACTTTCTCTGAGGAAATTCCAGGCTTACAGGTTCTGGAGTCTTTGTGTTCCCACTGAATACATGAAGGCCCCTCTACAAGATCTAGGAATGTCTCTCATGTTTCATTCCCAGGGATAGTGCTTCTGAGTAAAGGTCAAAGAATTGCTGTGCCTGATATTGCCCTCAGCCCTGAGAGAGTAAATTTCCCAAGACTATTAAGACACTGAATTTGGGAAGGGAACATTTTGAGGGAGGGTGGGATGTAAATAGCCTCACAGGGTGTTCAACAGCTCTTTGGGTAGACATTAGAGCTTAGGGGTGGGACAGAATCTGGCAAGAACGAAATGGTGTCATAAAACAGAAAGGGGTGTTTTCATAAAATAAAATTGCTGGAAAGCGTGAAGGTCTCTCATATCTCAATTAATCATGTAGCCTCCCTGAACTGCCCTGAGTATTGCAGAAAACTGTTGGGAGGCTTTGTTTGCCACATTCCTACTTTGAGAACTCTACAGGATCCTCCACATTTCACCTCTCTTGCTCTTGTGAAATCCTGCCTCTGAATGAGAATAATTCACAAGCCTTCACAGTGCTCGGCATACAGTAGGCATGCTATCATTGGAATAAGAAGTTGGGGACAAACTCTGCCAGAGCCTCATTTCTTTACGTCAAGAGAGGAAAAATCCATCAAAGAACTAGAGCCAGGGACCCAAGATGGCTAAATAAGCGGCCGGCCCAACAGCCCCGGCTGTGGGCAACCCCAGAGCTGGGAAAGCGCGGGCCAATTTGGAAGCGGGCAGGGGCGGAGCTGTTGGGCGGGTCCGCAACGGGCCACGTGGTCTTAAGTGACTTCCTTTTCCCCTTTATTCTTTTCTTTCTGCATTCATGCTCCGGCAGCTTCTCCGCGCTAAAGGCGCAGGCTAGACACTGCCGCGGCGTGTGTGTGTGTGTGCCTGTGTGACCGGGCGCGAGTCCCACGGCCCGGAGAGCGGGGCGCCGGCGCCGGACCCCGGGAAGTAGCGCAGCCGGCTGTGGCGCCAATCTCGCGCCGCCGCAGTGCGCTCGCGGGGCGGTCCTGGAGGCCGCGGGTTGTGGTTCCGGTTCCGTCGTCGAGACACGTGAAGGTCGGTGAGTTGGTGCGGGGTTCATCTCGGCACGCGCGGTCGCGCTGGGATGGATTCTTCTTCGTCTTCTGCGGCGGGTTTGGGCGCAGTGGACCCACAGTTGCAGCATTTCATTGAGGTGGAGACTCAGAAGCAGCGCTTCCAACAGCTGGTGCACCAGATGACTGAACTTTGTTGGGTGAGGATCCTGGGGCTGGGATCTGGACACTATCCGCTTTTCCTCTGACCTTGCCCCATGGGACTCTACTACGTGAGGGATTCGGAGAGAGGGTGGACCTGGCGGCAGTCTCTGGGTTTCTCAGGTTCCTTAGGCCGAGCCAGAAGGGAGAAGGGTGACTCCACTTCTTAGGGGATTGTCTTGTTACTCCGGATCTCAGCTTTATTGGTGCAGAGGTGCAGAGAACTAGGGATCATGGACTTAGGCCGCTGTCCCACCCAGCACTTCCAGGCACCAGAGGTTGAAGCCCCAGTACTGGGATTTTATTTTTGGAAGCCTGACTCCTGGAGAGTCAGTCCGTGAATCTGCTATTCCTGGACTCCTGGGAACTTAACCTTGGTTACCCAGTTCTAATCCCCCGATGAGAAAATTAGTGGCTCTAGTCCACTGACTATGAAAGCGGCGTAATCTCTCCCAACATACACATTTATTTGCCTTTTCTTAGGTGGTTGTGTAATACCGAGCCATTTCAGGTCTGAAGGTTGAGGAATTGACACTGCCCTGTGAGGGGACTTTGGCAAAAGGGTGGAAGGCATTCCTAGCTTGAGATCAAAGTGTTCTGGTCGTCAAGGATAGCATGCTGCCCTCCCTTGATGTATAAAGTCACAAAATTTAGAAGCCAGAGATAATGTTCTTTAGAATGGAGCGTCTGAGGCTCGTGTGTACAGCAGAGAATCATGAACGAAATTCGTTCAAAGCGCTTTGAACTATACACAGGCATTGGTTTGTACAGTCCCTTTCTCATAAACTTACATACTGTTTGACTGTGACCCTTATGAAATGCTTACTGAAATGTTTATTACAGTTGGGCGTGGGAGGATTGTGGTTAGGGACTAATTTAAGAAACTGTAAGCTATGGGAATTTTTCATTTTTCCTGAGAGGATTCAAGAACGTTTAACTTGCCAGCAGTGGTGAGGCACACCTGTGATCCCAGGCTAAGGCATGAGGATTGCAAGTTTGGAGCCAGCTTGCCTGGGGTACATAGTGAAACCTTGGTTCAAAAATTTTTTAAAAAAATGGGCTGGGGGTGTGGCTCAAGGGTAGGGGGAGAAAGAGGAGGGAGAAAACATACTTCTGGCTTAAATAAGGCAAGGTTACAGAGTTGTTTGATAAGTTTAGTGTGCCTTACTGTTAATCCCTTTGTTCTTCAAATATTTTAAAGGCATTTAATGCAAGCAGCATTGTGGAGTTGCAACCAAATTCAGCAAAAAAGATCCCTGCCTTGTATTTTGCCATCTTTCTTGAGCACTACCATTTTCTGGCCCTATAACTTTGGGCAAAGGATCTTTGTGCCAGTTTTCCTTTGTAAAATGAGGATTAATAATAGTATTTATTTCATAGGATTGTTACAGGCCTATAGAAAATTGTTTGACAATTGATAAGCTGCCAAATGTGAAATACTAATTTATCAGTTACTATGTTTACATGGAATTTTCCCTCTAGTTAATAAGAACTTACCCCCACCCCTCTTTTGTTTGCAAGTTCCGCTTGTGATTTTGTATTTTGTCCTGAACAGGAGAAATGCATGGATAAGCCTGGGCCAAAATTGGACAGTCGGGCTGAGGCCTGTTTTGTGAACTGCGTTGAGCGCTTCATTGATACAAGCCAATTCATCTTGAATCGACTTGAACAGACCCAGAAATCCAAGCCAGTCTTCTCAGAAAGCCTTTCTGATTGATCTCAGCGTTACCTCTTTGGAAATAAAGAGCTGTTTGATGGGATGGTTGAAGAAATGGCTATGGGGGTATTGACTCCCCCTTTTGTCACTTTTGGGACATCCTATCATGAGAATGAACAAAGACCAATGTTTGTGTGGGGGAGGGTTTTGAGGGCTTGAGGGTCATATGTGTATTTGGTTGTGTTTTTAATGCTAATCTTGTGAAAATAATTGACAGATGAATGGAAAACCATTAGATGCATATTACTGTATATGGGACTATGCTTTTGTGAAGGTCCCCTTAACTGCTTTCTATAATTTGATAGTGGGACCACATAGGTAAATCTCTTAATTGTGTGAACTCATTTCAGACTTTTAGAGAGATCTTTGTGTCAGAAAAGGCAGCAATGGGAGAATAACTTGGCACTTAACTGTGGGCCTCTTTATCCAGTGTCTGACTATTGGTGCCAGAAAAAAAATCTATGAAGTGTTCACACAGTACACTTCAGCTTTCTAGATTATCTCCCTCCCCTATACTATGATTTACTTAAATATCTGTTATGAAAATGTGATCTCAAGGTAGAACAGGCAGCCTGAGAATCTAGAGACCTTTAGTTACAAAGGAATCTAGCCAATAAATGTAATTCATATTACTAGACTGCCACAGGAAGACGTTAACTTATCCTGTATGTCAGGGTAAAAAAATTCAAAGATGTGCCTAAAGAAATTATAAAGATTTAGGCTAGTCAGAAACTAACAGCAGTTTCAGGTAGAGATGCATGCCTGATGTTAATCATGGATTTCGTTTACTGCATTCTTTTGATCACTGAAATAAAAGCTAATACAAAATTCACCTCTAGTTAAGAGGCTTTCTATTCTGCTTTTATCTGCAGCCCATAGATATTTAGTGTGGGCTCATTCCAAGGCTGAAATGTAGTCAGTCTGTATTCTAGAGGTTCCTGAGGTTTTTATGAAAAGAGAGATCCTTGAGATGAGATGGGAAGGGAAAGAATTCTGTGCTGACAGTTAAGTCCCTGAGTGTAATAGAAGAGTTTGTATTGACTGAATTCCCCTCTTATTTCAAATCCTAGTAGATTGTAGTATAGAACTAAGGTGGAACGGCTTATTGGGAGTCTTTATTGCAAATCCATGAAAACTGGGAAAATACACAGTTCTAGAAGCTTCAAGTTTCTGATCAGCTTTTTCTCCATATAGAGACTACAAGGAAAATTTGTAAGCCATAATAAAAACACCATTCAGCAAACAATTAAGTGCCCACTCTGTGCCAGACACTGTTTTTAGTTAAAGGGCTTCAGCAGTGCACAAAACAGTACCTGCCCTTCTAGCTAGGGGAAGCAAAGTACATATGTATAAATATGTCAGTGTAATAGGTACCCTGGAGAAAAAACAGGGTAGGGGGTTAGGGGATGTTCTTGGAGCTTTATTTTATAGAATATCATTAGAGAAGACGTCATTTCAGCAGAAACCTGAAAGAACTAAGTGACCAACCCTTGGGTATTTGGGAGAAGAGCATTTCAGGCAGAAGTAAAGTAAATTGAAAGGCCCCATGGGAGGAGTTGCATGCCATGAGGTCATTAGAACAGTCAAAAAGCAGTGGGACTGGAGTGAAATGATTAAGGAGAAGGGTAAGAAATTAGATTGGAGAAAAATGCATGATATGGACTGGTGCTGGAGAGGTGGTGTGCACTGATTGTGAAGGGCCTTGTAGGCCATTTATAAGGACTTGTTTTATTAGGTAAGATTTGAGGGGTTTTAGCAGATGACTGATAGAATACAATTGAAATTTTAGGAGGATCTGGCTGTTGGTATAGTAGTAGTAGTACTAAGAATATGGTATTTTGAAGTTAAATAGATTTCAGGTATTTAGGGGAGGTATCTGGCACATACTTTGTATTGACCCAGTTGATTTTTTTCCCTACAAAATTTAATGTGTTTACATAAAATTGGCAAGTAATACAGAAGATTCTTTTATCATTTTCTTTTATTACTATATCATTCCTTCTTACTCCTTTAGTATTAAAGTATTCTCATTACATGTACAAACAAATGTTTTTTCTCTGCAATATTATTGCTTGCCCAGTTAATATAATGAGAAAGAATATCTGTCAGACTCATAAATATGCTTGAGCTCCAGGTTTGTGTTCAGCAGTACTAGGCACAGACAGCTGAAAAGAAAAGGTATATCATTTGCCCCTGTCCTCAAGGAGATTAAGTAAACACAAGAGTAACAACCCAGGCTTCTGTTTGGTTTGGTCAATCTCAGAAATTTGTCTTCAGATCTTTGATAAGAAAAAGTGGCACTGACAGCCCTGAAATTCAGAGCCTTCATTTCAAATATTTAAGGTAGGAAATTCAAGACTCAACAATAAAACAAAAAGATTAGGTTAGCAAGCCCTTTTTCTGAAATGATGTCTTAGAAGTCTAATATGTAAAATAGGAAGGCCAACGTGTTCTAATAGTGTGTGTGGGAGGCTTATCTATCTGGAAGCTTGCCTGCTGTTGACTGCTCACATTGTGCCCCTTACTGATCCTAAGGCATTGTCTTCAAGCCTTTAGGGATTTATCAAGGATTACTATGAAAAGTGGTACCATTCTGTCCCTAAAGTCCCTACCCATTAGTCCATGAAGTAACATTAAGGATAATAGATAGAAAGAAAGGCATCAGGCAAGAACTTCATAATTAAGGTAAAAAAAAAACCACACATCTTCACAAGGAGTTTAAATTCTAAACTGTAACAAACTCCACATAAAAACCTTTACATGGACCAAGGGAAAGCAACTGATGATCATTTCTTTAACAACTAGTTTTCTTCCATATAAATACTATAATAAAAATCTGGCCATAGGAAATTTTATTCCAAAGATCTCCCAAGAGGACATTTCTCTTAAAGCTCTTCATATTCTCCTTTGGTCTTATTTTTGTTGGCATCGTTTAGATTCAAAGGTTGAAGAAGCATCTGGTATCCTTCCCCTTATGTCTACATAAGAGAAAGGGTAACATTCATATTCACTGTTCTCAAGTGTTACGGTTTGTATATGGTTTGAGTGTGTCCTCCAAGGGTGTCAGAAACTTGGTTCCCAGAATGGTGATGTGCGAAGTGGTAGAACCTTTAAGAGGTGGGGCTTAGGGGGAGCTTACCTTGAAAGGGATTGGAGTGGTTTATACAGGACCACTGAATTCTCATAAGAGCAAGCCTGACCCCTAAATTGCTCTCTGGCTTCCTGTTTGGAGATGTGCTCTCTTCCACCCATGGTCTTACCATTGCCATCTGCCATGAGGGGATACAATCAAGGGGATCCTCGCCAGAGCCATCATTATGTCTGGACTTTCAGCTTCCAAAACTGTGAGCTAAATTAACCTCTTCTTTACAAAGTTAACCTGCCTCGGGTCTTTCATTATATAATGATAAAACACACTAATCAAATGAGAAGGCAACAGGTATGGACTAAAGGGGACGTCTCAAAAGACATAGAGAAATAAAAGGCCAAGAACTATGTAAGGAAGCCGCAGATAACACCATTAAAGTTGCTGAGGCCATATGTTGCTATTCCTTGAAAAGAATAATGAGCAGACCATAGTAGCAGTAGGGAAAAGGACAAGGGAATGACTGCTGAGATACCGAAAAATATCTAGGCCATGTTCAGACAATTGATTTGAATGTTTACACAGATCACAAAACAAATCAACAGTATGCAGACCAGGACTGTGTTTATAATTGGTTTTCCTAGACCAGCTGGCTTCAAGGTAATGCCTAAACTTTTGACAGCTGACACAGAAAGTGAGTCAACAAAAGAGCAGATAAGACTATTCACAGAGAATCCAGGGTAAGATGCACGATTAGAAGCTTCCTCTGTGTGACTTGGTGAATGAGTCAGAATAACAAAGGACAGACTATATTCTGAAAAGAAAAAAAATGAAAAGCATCAGGTATCAGAAAAGAGGTAAGGGCTGGAGATGTACCTCCGTGTGGTAAGAGTACATGCCAGCATGGCACAAAGTCCTGGGTTCAATCCCCAGCACTGCAAGAAAAAAAAAAAAAAAGTGACAGCACAGCTGAAAAGCACAGAGAAGCAATGAGTACACACAGAAAAGTAGGAAACAGGTTTCACGTCCAACCCTGGCTTTGCAGTATAGTTGGTTGGGGGGAGCTGAAGCCAGAACCACAAAGTATGACAGGCATCCTTAGTGACAACAAATTGGCAGTCCTAGCCACAGGAGAAATCCATGGGTCTTGCAAGTCTTAACTTTAGTGGAGGGATTTGGTCAGACAGTAACTACCACTACACGGCAAGCTAGCATTAGAGAAGAAATCCACTGCATTGTTCCTCATATCTCAGAGGACAGCCAGGTGCCATTTGTTGGGGGTGGCTATTGTCTGAGACTGAGCTTCTATCAGGACCTGAACGCAGGGAAAAATCACAAGCCAGGGAGGCTGGCTACACTGTGCCAGAGGAGAAGTGTTGGGGGACATGGACCAGCTGAGAAATTTAAGCAGCAGGGAGCTTGGGCTGTGGAGGGTGCAGTAGTTGATGGCCCTGCCTTCTTTGAGTGAGGAGTGAGTCCCATTGCCTGTGTATTACTGCAGAAACTGAGATCTGGAGCCTGTGACTGGCAGATTGCTCAGCCTCCAGAGCCGCCTCCCTGGCTTGTGCAGTTTGCTACAGGGTGGCAGCCTCTTCAACAAATGGTATTGGGATAACTGGATATCCACATGTAAAAGATTGAAACCAGATCCCTATCTCTCATCCTGTACAAAAATCTATTCATAATGGATCAATGAAACCCGTTAAAATTTCTCAATTAAAGGAGGCAAGGGAGATAAGAAGGAGAAATAGAGGGGATGAATTTAAAAGTACATTATATGTATGTATGGAAATATCAAAATGAAACCTCTGTACAATTTATATACACTAAAAAAAGAGAGAGGGGAAAAAGCTTATGACCACCATACTTTTTGAGTAATATCACATAAAATACTAGATTAGGAAACCCAGGGCTCTGCCCCTCCCAAAACAACTAATAACCTTGGCAAAAGCTGTCAAGTTTTGCAGAACTCTAAAATCTAGTCCTAAACTTAAAAGAACCAGGGGAAAACTTAATGAAGAAAAAAGCAAGTACACTGCAGTAAAGGAGTTCTGTAATATTTTTAATCACTTGCCTGTCATTCCCCTTTCCAAACCAGCAGCAGCCATAAATATAACTTCCTACACTCCTGGTAAAGGTTGATACTGCTGAACAGAGCAATATGGATCTTATAGCCCAAAATTGTGATTACGTGTTTCAGCCTAACTAATGGCTCCCACAAGGAGCTAACACAAACACCTGACTTTACTTCACCCAACTTGAAGCAGCATTCCCAGGGCTGGATGGCTTTTAGCGAAAGCATTTAAAGTTTGTTACCTGGAACAGACTTGGAAAAGAGCTGACAATCAGAACAAGAAATAGATCAAAGGAAGAGAGTGGTAATGAAAATATGTATACCAAGGCATCTAGAAAGCCACGTGCATGCCGAAGGCTGGAAATAAACTCAGGGAAAGCCTGAGGAGAAGTTTTTACTTCTGGCTCACCTTCAGAATCTATGCAACCAGAAACTGAAGACTAAGCAAGAGTTATAATGGACTGGCCAAGAATTGAAGGAGTCCTGCAACATAGATCCAGTCTGCAAATACTGGAAGAGGACTTTTTTCTCTTTTTCCTCTTTCTGTTTCTTTTTATCTTCTCATGGCTCCAGGCATATGAGGAAATCCTGTCAAAATACTAACTACCAAACTGTGGAATACTGACTTAACTGGTCATATGACAAAGATTAGC